GGGGCAAAGAGTGAACGTGTTGAGTTTGTCATTCCGGGAGAAAGGGGATAAAAATTCAAAGGGTGGCTTAGATATCTCCAACATAAAAGAAGTCCGGAAGTAGAAAGTGTGGTCGCTCCGCATCACTGCCGAAATCTCACACCTTTCAACTCATGATTTCATCACTCAGACCATCCTTTGCCGCCGGACCCAAAATGGCTGCCAGAATACCACATATCCCATCCTGTTTCCAGGATGCCATGAGGGTGTCCCATAGAAAAAAAAGGATTTGCCTCCTTTTATTAGGAACTACTCCATAAATGACCATATATTTTTGCTTAGATCCAATTAGAATAAACATCCCACAGCTTTACCTAGCTGCAGGGGAGGCAGAAGTATCTGTTGGACAGGAAACAACTGTAAAGTGCAATGAGGTTTCTTTGGTGATAAGTGAAAAAAGAACATCGAGATAGGAAGCTAGCAGTCCCTGCTTCTGTCCCACAGAAGAAATCTGTTCTACCCCTTGGTTACCCACGCTCTTAGCAGGGAATCTACCACTTCCGACAGGATATTACATTGATTTGTGGCTAGGTCCTTATGAACAGTAAAGATTTTCTAAGGGCCTGGACCTCATCTGACTTATCTCTGGGTCCCAGGCCTAGAAACATCCCTGACACTCAAGGGCCTCACATACCAGACAACGTAACCACAAGACAGAATGGAAGAGACGTGGAGAATCACTTATGTTATTTTGTGGTTTTGTTTCTTCAAAGCAGAGGCTATTTTGTTGTTGTTGTTGTTTGAGACAGGGTTTCTCTGTGCAACAGTTCTGGAACTCACTTTGTAGACCAAACTGGCCTCGATCTCACAAAGATCCACCTGCCTCTGCCTCTCAAGTGTTGGGATTAAAGCCATGCGCCAACACCACCCAGCTCAGAAGCTCTTACTATAGCCCTGGAGGGACTGAGAAACCTCCTTTCTCAGCGTCCCTAGTGCAGAAATTACAGGAGTGCTCTGCCATGCCCAGCCATTAATAATTTAAAGACAGCTGAGAAGACTCTGGATCCTCATATCCCGCTCACAGCACTCAGGAAGTGGAGGCTGCCACTCTGCAGGAAAAAAAAAAACAACAAATCAAATCAGGAATGCTAGTTTCAGAGACACACCTTGCCTCAAAAGACTGAGGTGGAGAGTGACAGAGGGGATATCCGATCCTAGTGCCCTCCTGGATTCTGTTCTGTGCAGACGCTCACATATGAGTACTTACACACGTGTGTGCGCGCACACACACACACATGCATGCTAACTAAATTGCAAATAAGTATAAATCCTGAGACTGGAGAGATGACTCAGTGGTTAAGAGCACTGGCTGCTTTTCCAGAAGACCCAGGTTTCATACCCAACACCCACATGGTAATGCCCAACCGTCTGTAATTCCTGTTCCGGGGTTCAGATGCCCTCTTCTGGCCTCTGTGGCCACCAGACAGGCAAATGGTGCATTCACACGCAGTCAGGCCAAACACCTGTACATATAAAATAAAAGTTAAAAAAATAAATAAATTCAAATAACTAGCCATCCCTAGTAGTGCATGTCTCTAATTCCGGAACTAGGCAGACTGAGACAGGAACATCCGTCTCCTGAGTCCCTAAATTCAGAACCTCTGGGCAAGATGAGAAATTAGCAGACAGACAGACCAGAACTAAGATAGCTTCTTGCTGTGGCAGGCCTGGCACAGCGTATTCCATAACCTCTCACCAGTGCTGGACATTTATCTAGATGTCCGGGAGGGATGTGGAGGGAGGACCAGAGGTTAGAGGGTCCTGGCTTTTGCAAAGTTTTGACTGTGGCAAGTTTCCTCACCTATACAATGGGATTGGGGATGTGAGGCTCTGGGTTCAGTCTCTGGAACCCATTCATTATCATGGGAATTGGGAAAACAGGCACTGAAATAGAGTTCCCTTACTAGGTGGTTGTGGCGCACACCTTTAATTTGAGCACTCTGGCAGAGGCAGGCGGATCTCTGTGAGTTCGAGGCCAGCCTCGTCTACAGAGTGAGTTCCAGGACAGTCTGAAACTGCAGCAGGGCTACACAGAGAAATCTCCTTCCCCAAAGAGAAAGCAAGCCCTTTTTCTGCACATCAGGAAGGTTAGAGGGAAGCGGCCTGGCAATGCCCTTACCATAGGAGCTCCAGCACAGGCTTATTCAGTGGTAGCTGTGGAAGTGCTGTTATCTCGGGGAAGAAACTGAGGGTTCTGGGAGCCCATCTGCTGGTTAGGGTTGGCTTTCAGTTTCCTTTCTTTGCTGATGGAAATGGAACCCATGACCTTGCCCTGGTGAAGCAAACACTGAGCCACACTGCCAGCCCCTCACTGGGGGATTCTAGGCAGGGGCTCTACCACTGAGCCACACCCCCAGCCCCTCACTGGGGGATTCTAGGCAGGGGCTCTACCACTGAGTCACACCCCAGCCCCTCACTGGGGGATTCTAGGCAGGGGCTGTGCCTCTGAGCCACCTCAGCCCAACATTACCTTTCCAGCCCTGTAATTTGTTCTTCTAATGATTCAGGGTGGGCTAACTGCTGTCACAAATAATCCTAAACTCTTAATGTGTTCAGAAATCTGTTTTAATAAAAAATTTTATTTTTTGTTTGTTTGTTTTCAGACAAGGTTTTACTGTGTAAGCCTTGCTGTCCTGGAACTTGCTCTGTAGACTAGCCTGGTCTCAAACTCAGTGATCCACCAGCATCCAGTGTTGAGATTAAAGGTGTACACCAAGTCAGATATAGTGATGCACACCTTTAATCCCAGTGCTTGGGAGGCAGAGGCAGGCAGATCTCTGTGAGTTCAAGTCCAGCCTGGTCTACAAGAGCTAGTTCCAGGACAGGCTCCAAAGAAACACAGAGAAACCCTGTCTCGAAACACCAAAATAAATAAATAAATAAGACTCTGGCAGGGCCATAGAGAACAAGCAGCTGTGGGGCTCTTATGTGAGGTCCTGCCCTTCCAGGGGTTTCTTAGATTGCTCTGACCCTATAGACATGTACAATTGTAGGGGAGAAAGACAAGGTGAGAAAGATTCTATCCAGCACCATATTCACTGGCCCCAAATTAGTCATACGGCTCCACCCAGCCACAGAGATGCTGGGGGGAAGTAGCATAGGTGTGTGACAGAGCCAAGGACGTTACGGTGGAACTGACCACTCCGAATTTAGTGGCCTAGAATAATGACTGCCAGAGCCAGGGGTCCATGCTGTACACCTGTAACCATACCACTGTGGAAGCTGAGGCAGGAGGATTAGGAGGTGTTCAAGACCGGCTTGACTAACACTGAGGAACATCAAAGCAGGGGGGAAATGCTGTTGACTCAGATTCTGGACGGGAGATTTAGATTGGGTCAGGTGGGGAGACTTCTGGGTTTACACTGGAACCACCTGGGTTTCTTTCAAAGTGTAAGATTCAAGGTGGCCTCCCTCAGAGGGTAGGTGGTAGGTGCCACAAAGAGGCTATTCTGGGCATCTTTTCCAACAGTTTCTGGGTAGCAGATGGCACACAGGAAGCTGTTAGGCATCTTTAAGGCTTTGTGGGCTTTGGAACTGTTGCTAGATTATTTTAAGCAAAACCACCTCTCCCCAGTTTGGTTTCCTACTACTCCCTAGGTTACTGAGGATGACCTTGAACTTCTGACCTTCCTGCCTTTACCTCAAGCGCTGGGCTCTAGGCTTCTAGGCATTCACCATCACACCCAGTCTTTGCTGTGTTGAGGACCTAGCCCAAAGCTTCATGCCTGCTAGGCGGGCACTCTACCTACGACATCCCCACCCCAGTGCGCCTGCGGAAAGAGAGAGAGAGAGAGAGAGAGAGAGAGAGAGAGAGAGAGAGAAAGGGGAGGGAGGAGAGAGAAAGAGAGAGGGGGGAGAGAGAGCTGTATCTTTTGTTTCTCAGACAGGGTCTTGCCTTTGATATATCCTGGCTTTGATCTTATTATATTGCCTAGGCTGGCCCTGTACTCCAGACCCTTTCTGCCGCTGCCTCCCAGGTACTGGAATTTTCAGGGCCATGGCTAGCAGATTCTGTTGGTCACTAGGATCATAAATTAGCCCAGATTCAGGGAGGTGAGCCTCCTGAATGGGCCGGCTAGCTGAATCAGCTTGCAGAGGATCTAGGTATGTAAATCAGACAGGCTTGGGACACAGGGAGAGAAGAAACGGGAGGAAACAGAAAAGGAATTTGTGTGTGATGATGTAAGCCCAGAACCCCAGCCCTGGAGAGGCGCAGGCAGGAGGATCCTGTAGTCTCGAGGCCAGCTTGCTCTCTCTATATGCTCCTGATGTGGGGAGACAACCCATCTGAGCATCAGTCAGTGGGTGCCCTGTGGAAGATGGCCGCCTCCCATACCCGGTGAACTCCAGCTCCGAGATCCAAAGGGGATTTCTTTTGTCAGAGCCTCCAATTACTGTCCATCTTCCTGGGCAGTTCTCTCTGCCCTTCCCCTAGCAGCTAGTGCCCTTGTGCTGCCACAGAGTCTTGCCTTGGCTCTCTAGAAACGATTTTGCCTCTTCAGATTGGAGAGAGGACTAAAGGCCAGGTTCAGTGGCTCACACCTATAATCTTAGCACTCACAAAGCTGAGGCAGGAGAATTGCTGTCAGTTTGAAGCTAATCTGGTCTACAGGGTGAGACTATTCTCAACAACAAACAAATCAGGAATTAGGGAGATGTTCAAGCAAGTGCGAGGACCAGAGTTCGGATCCCCAGCACCCACATTAAGTCGGCTCTGGTCCTGGAAGCTTGCTCAGCAATACCAACCCGGATCTGTGATCGAGATCGATTGAGAGACCCTGCTTCAATGAATAAGGTGGAGAACTTAGGGGAAGAGGACCTCAACCCATGCATTTGAACATGTCTATGTTCCCCCACTTATGTAAACACAGAGCCTCATGTGCGAACACACACACACACACACACACACACACAACTGAATGCCATCTCAGAGACTCTCCCAACTGTTTCTCTTGGTTCAGGGGCTGGACAGGAAGTGCAGACAGAGAATGTGACGGTGGCTGAAGGTGGGGTGGCTGAGATCACCTGCCGTCTGCATCAGTATGATGGGTCCATAGTTGTCATCCAGAACCCAGCCCGGCAGACCCTCTTTTTCAATGGCACCCGAGGTGAGTGCAGGAACTCTGGACTTCTGTGACCTCAAAAAGGACTCATCTAAACATCTGACAGGGGGACAGGACTGGAAGCCTGAGCTTCCATGTTGGGGGAGGCGAGGGAGGAAGGGTGCTGGAATGGGCTCCCAAGGGAACAAACAGTTGAATAGGATCAGACGCAGAGCTTTGTCTGGAGAAAGGCAAGGGGCGGCATCTGTCCTGGAGGGTGCCTGTCTGGAGACCAGAGAAGCCCCCAAGTTGAATCCGTCTTCACTGTAGCTCTAAAGGATGAGCGATTTCAGCTGGAGGAATTTTCCCCGCGTCGAGTGCGCATCCGGCTCTCCGACGCCCGCCTGGAGGATGAGGGGGGCTACTTTTGCCAGCTCTACACGGAGGACACCCACCACCAGATCGCCACGCTCACTGTCCTAGGTACTGGCCTTTTTCCCGCTCAAAGTCCCACTCTCATTCATTCCCTGCTTCTCACTCGTCCTGAGACCTATGCGCCCTGGATGTTTTTGACCTCTTGGACTTCTGGCTCCACCAGGCCTCTGGTCTCTGCGTATGAATCCTGCCACCTGTGGGACCCTGGCTCCCATTGGTCCCTAGGATCCAGCAGCCAGAATGACTTGTGCCTACCTCGGTGCCTCCCTTGACCCCCCCCCCCCCCCCATCTGCGCCCCTTCTCTGCGCAGTGGCTCCGGAGAATCCAGTGGTGGAGGTCCGAGAGCAAGCGGTGGAGGGCGGCGAGGTGGAACTCAGCTGCCTGGTTCCGCGGTCGCGCCCTGCAGCGGTCCTGCGCTGGTATCGTGATCGCAAAGAACTGAAAGGTACCCAGGGCTAGGCCCAGTGGCAGAGCCGATGGGGGGGAGGGGGGCGGGGAGGCCTCGGGACTTGGGAAAGAGGCGGGGTTAGTGGTGGGAAGGGCCTGGAGAAGAGTGCAAGAGCGCTCGGGTCCTGACTGACACTTCCCAATCCCGCTTCCACTGCTGGCACACGCCTGTCCACACAACCTTTGGGAGGTGGAGAAAAGAGGTTCAGGAGTTCAAGGTCATCGACTACAAAGCGAGTTCAAGACCAGCCCGCACCACTTGAGACTCTGTCTCAAAGCAAACAATGCAAACAAAACTCACGGATTCAAGGCGTGAGAAAGGCAGAGATGTGGCTAGGTGAATAAGGCGAGGCTTATAGTTAGGAACGTGGCTTGACCAGCAGCCTACATTGGGATCAGGAGATAGGGCAGGACCCCTTAGCCTAACGTTTCTGGGCTGGATCCGACAGGAGTGAGCAGCGGCCAGGAGAATGGCAAGGTGTGGAGCGTGGCGAGCACTGTGCGGTTCCGTGTGGACCGCAAGGATGACGGTGATATCGTCATTTGTGAAGCGCAGAACCAGGCGCTGCCCTCGGGACACAGCAAGCAGACGCAGTACGTGCTGGATGTGCAGTGTAAGTGGCTCCGGGGTCTGCACGCTGGTCGCCCGCCCTTAGAGCTCCCCAACCCTCGGAATGATCTCTCATTTTCCCTCTTGCGCTGCAGACTCTCCCACGGCACGGATCCATGCTTCTCAAGCTGTAGTGAGGGAGGGAGACACACTGGTGCTGACCTGTGCTGTTACAGGGAACCCCAGGTGAGATCTAACTTCTGGCTCCTAAGGGGTGAGGGAACTTGGGGCTTGCACACCTGGGCCCTATGGAAAAGGGTACTGAAGCCGGACTCCTGATGAAAAGGGCTTGGAAGGGGTTAATTCTTACAGCTCTGGCTACGTGTAGAAGCTGGTCTCAAGTCTGATGGTTTTCCATAAGAAAAGGGCCGTGAGATGGCCCCTTTTATTAACAAAGAAAAAAAAAAGTTATGGCCAGGCGGTGGTGGCGTGCGCCTTTAATCCCAGCACTAGAGAGGCAGAGGCAGGCGGATCTCTGTGAATTCGAGACCTGGTCTACACAGCGAGTTCCAGGACAGTCAGAGCTACATAGAGAAACCCTGTCTTAAAAAACAAAACAACAATGGGGCCCGAGGAATGGCTTAGGTGTTCATCCAGAAGACCCTGGTTCAATTCTCGGCTCCCATATAGTGACTCCAGTCCCTGGGAGTCTGACGCCCCCTTCTGGCTTCTGAGGACACCACACAGCTGAAGTACACTGCAAACATACTTTTTTAATATTATATTTTTGTTAGGGGTGAGAAGCGTACCACTACACACGTAGGGAGGTCAGAGGGCAACTCGTGAGAATTCCTTCTGCCCTTCCACTGTGTGGGTCCCAGAAATCTAATTCATAATCGGGCTTGTTGACTAGTGTCTACCCTTCGAAGCATCTCGCAGGCAGAGTTGTCGGAGCTTCCTTGCCCCTTTTCATTGCTGGGGATCGAACCTGACATCTTATACATAGCTGGCAAAGGATCTACCATTGGGACAAACGCGCACGCGCGCGCGCACACACACACACACACACACACACACACACACACACACACGAGCAGTGACAGCCGCTTAATACTGAATTGGAGCTGCATATCTAGATTCCTGAGAAGTCAGATTCTTGGGTTCCTAACTCTGTTTTTACCCACGGCCAGGCCAAGCCAGATCCGCTGGAACCGCGGAAATGAGTCTTTGCCGGAGAGAGCAGAGGCAGTGGGTGAGACGCTCACCCTGCCCGGCCTGGTATCTGCAGATAACGGCACCTACACTTGCGAGGCGGCAAACAAGCACGGCCACGCGAGGGCACTCTACGTGCTTGTGGTCTATGGTGAGGGCGGAGCGTGTCAAGCTTGGGGGCGGGGCGGGCTACCGACCAGAGGGCGAAGCTTGTGCTAAGAGGTCGATTGCGTGGTTAAGTAGCCAACTGACTTGTCTTGAGTTTAGACTCCCCCCACCCCATGGGGAACATTTGAGTCAAAAGAAAAGGAGCGTGGTGGGGGCTGGAGAGATGGCTCAGAGGTTAAGAGCACACTGATTGCTCTTCCAGAGGTCCTGAGTTCAATTCCCAGCAACCACATGGTGGCTCACAACCATCTATAATGAGATCTGGTGCCCTCTTCTGGCATACAAACATACATGGAAGGAATGTTGTATACATAATAAATAAATAAATCTTTAAAAAAAAAAGAAAGAAAGAAAAGGAGCGTGCTAGCTGACCGTGGCGGGATGCTACTGTTATCCCAGTGCTTTGGAGGTCGAGGCAAGGTGATCACTCATTTGAAGCCAGCCTGAGCTAAATAAATAATAACCAGTCTACCAAAAAAGGCGCTGGGTGCGGTATTGGCTGGAGGTGTAGCCCAGGTAATAGAGTGCTTGCTTTGCATGCATGCTAAAGCTTGGATAAAATTCACAGCACTACCTAAATCTGACGCCGTTCCAGTAATCCCTGCTGGATAAGAAGTTCCAGGTCATCTTCACCGATTTTTTTAAATTTAATTTAACTTTATTTTATGTGTATTGGTTTGTGAACTGTCCTGTGGGTGCTGGGAATTGAACCCCGGTCCTCTGGAAGAGCAGCCAGTGCTCTCAACCATGGAACCAGTGCTCCAGTCCCCATCTTGATTGACTTTTAGACCAGTATATAAAACAGGAGACACACACACAAAAGCTAGTTGGAGCTACATAGTGAGACCCTGTCTGGATAAACACAGCGACCGGCTCTGCAGTTAAGTGTGCTTCTGCAGAGGACCAAGCCTGGATTCTCAGCACCCACATGGCAGTTCACCACTCTCCGAAACTCACGTTCCAGATCCAGTGTCCTCTTTCTTCTGGCCTCCTTCAATTCCTTCATGCACTGGTGCACATAAATCCACGCAAGCACAGATGCATAAAATTAAGAAAATGTTTTGTAAAAACCCAGTGTTAGAATGGGATGTGTTACTTCTAGTTTAGGGATGAAAAGGTGAGGAGGTAGGCAAATACCAGGAATGGAATACCCACCAGATTAAAAGCCAAGGATTCCAGGAAGAGTTGGAGCTGAAGAAAAGGGGCTAAAAGATGGCAGGTATTTTTGAGGAGCGAAGCTGTGTGCAGAATAGCTTATGGCCTGGCAGCAGCAGGCTGGATTAGACCGCCTCTGAACACCTTGTCCCTCTGACAGACCCCGGTGCTGTGGTAGAGGCTCAGACATCGGTTCCCTACGCCATTGTGGGCGGCATCCTGGCGCTACTAGTGTTTCTGATCATATGTGTGCTAGTAGGCATGGTCTGGTGCTCCGTCCGACAGAAGGGTAAGTCGAGTGGCGCCTGAAGTCAGCGAAGGGTGCGGTCGGTTTGATTCTGGGTTGCAAGGGGGCGGAGCCTAGGCACTAGATCGGATTCGAAATCGCGCCATATTTTAGACCAATTTTGTGTAGGGTTGGGACTTTGAGTTCTGGGCTCTGAAAGGGTTGAAGTTTAGCAGAATTAAGAGGAGGGATTTGGGGTAATTTATTTTTCAAGTAGCTGGATTTACTGGCGGCATAGTCGTAAGGGAATACTATCAGAAAAGAAACAGGTAGGGGAGGAGATGAGGGTCCTGGGAATAGGGCTCAGTCGGTAGAATGTCTAGCATGCGCAAAACCGTGAACTCCATCCTCCAGCACAGCACAAAACGGAGCGTGGTGTGCAAGCTTTTAACCCCAGTATTTGGGAGGCGGTGGCAGGATCCAAAGTTCAAGGTCACTTGTACTACCTAGTTTGAAGCTTACCTGGAAAACTGAAGACCCTGTCTCAAAAGTGGGGACGGGGCAATTGGGAGATGAGGGTGGGTTTTTTTTTTTTTTCTGTGAACTTTTGGAATCTTCCTAATTCTGCTTTTACTTTTCTCTTCCTCTGTCTTGTGCTTCACGGAACTGAACCCTGCTTCCCTTTCTCCCACTTCATTCATATGTTGTGTCTCCTTTCCCTATATCCACTTACTGGGTCCACATCCTCCTTTGCCCTGGGGGCATCTTCCCGCCCTCAGGCTCCTATCTGACCCACGAGGCCAGTGGCTTGGACGAGCAGGGAGAAGCTAGAGAAGCCTTCCTCAACGGCAGCGATGGACACAAGCGGAAAGAAGAATTTTTCATCTGACCCCATTCCCCCACTGCCAGCTGCAAGGAACCAGCAAAGACATTGACCAGAGTCGGGGATGGTGGGCTCCTCCCCCCGCAGCTAACACCTCAGGCGCTTGGGCAGGGATTTGGGGGGTGTTGGATGCCTGAACCTCTCCCAGGGCCAAAGGCTAGGGTCCAGAGGCGTAGGGTCCCCTAGAGGACAGAGGGACCGAAGGTCCTCTCTAGACCCCAAGTCTGGGGAGGGGTAATAGGGATTTGGGTTGAGGGAAGGCCAGAACCCCTAGACAGCAGAACCAGGTCTTGTGGGGAGGGGGTCAGATTCTGGGAAGGGTGGGGTGGGCAGGGAAGGGGAACACAGATTTCTTTGGGGTCCCAGACCCCATGCCAGCCATTGTAAGAGTTCTACAGAGCTCTGGGCACCTCTTTGCAAAGCCATGTTTGCACGGTGGGGGGAGGGGCGGGGGAGGGCGTGGAAAGGGGAATTCTGTGTCTTTGTGTGAAAACTCTGATGGGGGCAGTGAGGGAAACAACCCCAACCCTTATCCAGTCCCCCTTTCTGGGTTCCTGGGCGGCTCCCCTTCCCTCCATCTCCTCCCCCACGTCTTTCCCATTCCATATTTGTCTGTCCACCCACTCCTGGGGGGGCCTTCCCCGTCTCTCCTCCAGGCCCCCCGGGGAGAGGGAGGGAGCTTGGAAGGGATGTGTGGTCTCTATGGTTTTATATATAATATATTAAAAAAATCAAAAATCTGTATGAAAAAAATATCAGATTGCACCCCTCTCCCCCATTCCTGGCTTTTGCCCCTTTTTCTTGTTTAAAAAACGAAACAAAACACATTTTTGTACGGGGCGGGGAAGGGATAGGGAGGGGGGTTTGGCAATCCCACTAACCACCATTAAACTGAGGAGAGAACAAGTGTTTGGGGTGGCTGTGTGTCTGTCCCTCTGTCCACTGCTGTACCATTGGGAGGGGGAGATGCAGGGGTGGTCAGGGGAGCTATAGGGATTCTGTTATAGAGGAAGGTAAAGGTGACTTTACCAAGGTCACCTCCATCCACTCTTCCCCAAATTGGTTGTTTCTTTTTGGGGGGGTGGGATGGGAAACGGGCAGGGTGGGGTGTGGGAGGAGTGGCAGGCTTTGTTTTCTCTCTGCTTTTTGAGACAGCATCTTGTAGTTTAACCCAATCTGGTCTTGAACTCATGGTAACCCTCTGACTCACCTTCTAAAAAGCTGGGTATGGGTGTAAACCACCAGAGCCAGAAATTTATGAATTTATTTATTTATTTATTTATTTATTTTTTCGAGACAGGGTTTCTCCGTAGCTTTTGTTTCCTGTCCTGGAACTAGCTCTTGTAGACCAGGCTGGCCTCAAACTCACAGAGATCCGCCTGCCTCTGCTTCCCGAGTGCTGGGATTAAAGGCGTGCGCCACCACCGCCCGGCTAAATTTATGAATTTATATAGGCATTGTCTTCATCCATTCATTAAAACAGTCAGGTCTCTGGTTGGCCTATCCTATTCCCTTTCTCATGACTTACTGGCCCCGTCTCTGAGTCTTCCCCCCCCCCCCCAGATCCCACCTATTCTCTAGAGACACTTTCAACTCCATTCATCCTGTGTCTACCAACTGTTTGAACTGAAGAGTTTAGGGTCAGCCTGGGCAACATCATCAGTCTAGGCATGCCTTTAATCCCAGCAACTGGGAAGATGAGGCAGTTGGATCGCTGTGAGTTTTTGCGGCCAGCCAGAGATGTACAGTGAGGTCTTTATTCAAACAATCAAACAATAACTGCTTAGGAAGTTGTTAAGGTTCAGCACAGCCTGCTATGAATAAATAGCCCTCCACAGACACACGAGATACATGAGACACACAGACACACAACAAGTTGTTCCAGTTTAGCAGGCATCTAAAATTTGATCCTGTCCTAGGCTCTAAGGACTCAGGGAAAAGGGGGGACCCTATGCTGACCCTCATGAAATTTTGATGAAGGAAACAGACTATCAGCAAGTTAGTAAACAATTTTGCCAGAAATTTTGATGGTGATGGAAGACACACTAGAGAGGCAGAGGCAGGAGAATCTCTGTGAGTTCAAGGCCAGCCTAATCTACAGAGTGAGTTCCAGGACAGCCAGGGCTACATAAAGGAATTCTGTTTTGAAAACAAAAACAGAAGACAATTTCAGGGCTAGGCACGGTAGTACACATCTTCAATCTTCAGGGAGCAGAGGCACAAGGGTCTAAGCAAGTTCCCTAGCATCTTGGTCTCCAGGGCTAGCTCCAGGTCACTCCTAGCTACTTAGCAAGACTGAGTGTTGCCTCCCCCACCCAACAAAAAACTTAATGCTTGCTTTGAAATTGTAAAGAAGGCTATTAAAATGCCAGCTGGGTGTCATTAGCCCTTCAGAGGCTGCCTTAGGAGACTGAATTTGTAGCCAGCCTGGGTGGTGGCTCACACCTTTAATCCCAGCACTTGGGAAGCAGAGGTAGGCAGGTCTCAGTCTGAGGTCAGTCTGGTCTACGGAGAGAAACCCTGCCTCAAACAAACAAACAAACCAAAAAGGTCACACATCTTTAATTCTAGCATGTGGGAGACAAGCGGCAGCCAAGTCTTTGTAGCAAACTCCAGACCTGGACTATATAGTAAGACCCTGCCTAAAACACAAACACACGCACGCGCGCGCACACACATACACACACACACACACAGAGAAGAGATGTGGTTTACTGTTTTATTTTCTTATTATGGGGAAATTTCATACAAACTGAAAGAGATAGAAAGGCCCACAAAGTCCCAGGCACTCTGCACCACACGTCAGCCCACCATCAAAAGTGCTTCATTTCCTGAGACAGGCACTGTGTCAGTCTCCCTAATTCACTCAGTCTGCAGGTGCTGTACATCAAGGAAGGCTTTCGTTGACTTCAGTGCCAAGGCAGAGTAAGCAGAAAGCAGCGGGGGGGGGGGGGGGCATTCTCAGTTAAAGCCAATAGTAAGATCAAAGACTGAGACAGTAAAGAGCTGTGTTTGAAGTGCTGGGATCAGGACCTGATAAAAAGGGGGGCGGGGCCAGAAAAGACATCAGGGTCAGAGCTTTGACTGAGAGGCCAAGTTTGGTGACGCAGCCCTGTCATCCCAGCGTTTGGGAAGCTGAGGTGGGCTGCACAGGGAGACGCGGTCTCGGAAACAAAGCAAAACCTTTCCTTTTCTACGGTGTGGTGGACTCCACTGGAGCGTTTAAGGTGGCTAGTGATTAAAATCAGTTCTCCCCAGCACGGGCGGGGTTGTGGTGTTGCACGAACTTGTAGCTCTTTAAGTCACCTACAGGAATTCGGCTTGCTGCCTGGGGGCCTGTCATTTCAGCACTCCTGAGGCAATGGCAAATGTTCAAGGTCATTCTCGTGGAGGGAGTTAGAGGCTAGCCTGCCTAAAAAAAAAAAAAAAAAAAAAAAAAAAAAAAAGAAAAGAAAGAAAGAAAAAAGAAGCAAACACCTTTAGGAGATATTTTTCTTCTCCCCAGTGTTCCACGCAAAGGAAGCCGCTTGCAATTTCACTAAGAATGCTGACACTCCTTTGCCTCTGGGCATTTGCATTAGCTATTTCCTCCGCCAAGAGACTCCCATTCTAGTTGGCTCCAGTTCAGACTTGGCTTAAAAATCAGCCCTGGAAGTCCTTGCAAAACCCCGGCCTGGGGCCGGGGTTTCTGGCACCCACAGCCTCCTACTTTCCACCTCTTCCAGGTCTGCAGTACTAAGTTTTAGTCTAAACAAAGGTGGTTCGTCTTCCTTAGATGGGGGGGGGGGGGGGCGGTGGTGGGCAGATTTCTCGAAACGCAGAAACCCACGTGCGGGCCTAATTCACAAGTGGGCAATGAAAATTTATCCTGGGTGGCAGGGGAGAGAACCGAGTCCTAGACCTTCGGTAGTTTCAGGACAAGGAGACCAGTCTACTTCGCTCAAGTCTGCAGTCCCTATACGCATGCGCTAGGTTCAGGTGCCCCCCCCCCAACCATCCATATGCTAATCACTGCGCTCGGAAGGACAGCCTCTCCCGGGAATATGCAAATCACATCCTCCAGTACGGGAGGCCTTCCTTTGTCCCGCGCTAGGATTATGCAGATGAGCGAGCCTCCAACCCCGGGATCCAGGCCGAGTCCTTAGGCCCTCACCCCTCCACCCCAAGGCATCCTCTATTTATAAGGCGCGTCCGCTCCTCCGCGCTCGCCCGCTCCGTTCGATGCTCCGTGCCGCGGACTGTACCAAGTCCAGCGGGGCCGTGAGCTGCGGAGCCCGACACCCGCACCGGCGCGAGCTCGGCAGCCTGCGCGAGTCTCTGAGCCCCTCTTCCCACCGACGGCCAGGAATGGTCCGTCTGGCCGCGCACGCGCCCTGAACCCCGCTCGCCCCTCGCTCGCACGCTCGCTCGCTCGCCTAGGCTCTCTGAACGCAGGCGCAGTGCCCGGCCTTGCAGCCGTCACCGCCGAGCCTGAGCCGGGGCTGCCGGCGTCGGTGAGTGTCCGTGCTCGGGGTGCGCGGGGCATGCCGGGAAGCGGGCGATACAGCCCCGCTGCATGACGGGAGCCCGCGGCGCCTTGGCAGGGTGACCGGCCCCGAGAGTCCTTTGCTGCTTCTCCCAGCACGCGGCTCGGAACGTCCCCCAGCTTCGCCTCGCGGCTTTGTGGGAGCTGGTGGGCCAGACGGTTTACGGGCCTGGGGCATTCTGGGGCAGGGCCTGGGCGGCTCCCGGAAGGCGTCCTTTTTTTTTTTCTTATTTTCTTTTTTCTTCTTTTCTTTTTTTTTCTTTCTTTCTTTCTTTTTTTTTTTTTTGTTGCACACGCTTTCCTCGAGAAGCCTGACGGTGCTTGGCGTCTTAGAAGGTGGTCGTTAAAGGCCCAAGGCATCGTGGGAAGTTGTCACGGGGCATTGTCTGGTATCGGGGGTTTGTCCGAGCCCTTGTCCTACCTTAGCGTTGTGCGGAAAGGTAGCTATTGTGTTCACTCACCATCTTGGTTCAGTGTTGTCTGGGGTCCGGGCCACAGTATTTGCCTTTGTGGGAGGCAGGGGAGACGGTTCCACGTAGTCCTGGCTGGCCTTGAACCCAATATGTGGAGGATGACCTAGGATTTCTGATCTCCCAAGTGCTGAGTTTGCAGGGATGCACCACCACGCCCAGATGATTTTCACCTGTAGTGCTGAGGATGTTTTTCTTTTTCTTTTTTTACCTCTACCATCTTGGAAGTAAGTCTGGCTGCGTACAGGATGTCAGTACTGAGGGATGGTTCCACCTGACACCCGGAACATTCTGGAAGGAGCTTTGTGTAATGTGAGTTTGGAAAGGGATGGTTGTCCCCAAGTCACCCCAAGGAAAGTCCTGACCATCCCTGCTGTGGTAGCCAAGTAAAATAACAGTTAAACCCTGATGTGGTGTCACATGCCTACAATTCCAGCACCCTAAGCCTGGGGCAGGAGGACCGGGAATTTTAGGTCAGTTCTGGCTGCATCATGAGACCCGATCTCAAAACAGAAAGGGGGAGAATGAGTACTGCATGAGCATGTATAATAAATATTTATCTAAAATAGAAACCAGTTGTTTTCCGTTTTCCCAGGCAGAACTCCAGAGTTAGAGGGGTCTCCCTGTGATCGGTAATAGTGAGAGCTGTTGTTTGCCAGTTAACCAATTCTGTCCTTGAAAGGCCTCATCCACGTTCCAGGTGTCCTTTAAGTTCCCCCACCGTTGATGTCACTCACACTTACTGCTTCTGCTGCTTTACCCCAACAGTGTACTTGACATCAGGGCTTTGAAAAGATAGTGTGTGCTGTCTACCATTGTGTCCGCAGTGCCTAATGTACAGACTTTGTCAAGTTTCTAGTGAGGCTGAGCCAGATGGAGTGGTGAATATCTATAATCCTTTACCCAGGAGGCTGAGGTTGGAGGGTTGCAGGTTCAAGGCCAACCTGGACTGTCTAGCAAGAGTCTATGGAGAGTGTAAGGATACCGTGCTTGTTAGTCCTACACTGGCCCCACGGGGCCCTCTCACAGTTGCTGTAGGAGGAAGATGGGTTATTAGGGCTGAGGAGAAGTGCAGAATATGTTTATAGGTGGGCTTTGCAAGGTGAAAATTAGTTCTCCAAGGCCCACAAGGAGGAAGGAGAAAATTCCAGACGGAAACTGCAGAGGTACTAGGACAGACAAGAGAAGTTGGGTCCTGTTTGAAAACATAGCCAGAAAAGGACCGATTTGGGTTCAAACCTAGTCTGACTTTCACAAATTAGTGTAAATTGATGCCTGACACTCCAGGCGTGGTGGTGCATGTATAATCCTGGCACTTGGCAGAAAGATCTGGAATTCAAGGTCATCTGTGGCTACCTATTGACCTTGAGGCCAATCCAGGATACAGGAAGCCCCATTTCAAGCCAGGAAAAACTGAAAGGTAGCAATGTAACTCAGTTGGTAGTGTGCACCCCAGGTTTGATATCCAGCGTTTCGGGGGTAGATTCAGGAGTATCAAATTCAAGGTCAGCCTAGGATATTTGAGTTCCTGTCTCGGAAATGCCAGGCAGTGGTGGCTCACACCTTTAATCCCAGCACTCCCAGGAAGCAGAGGCAGGCAGATCTCTGTGAGTTCGAGGCCAGCCTGGTCTACAAGAGCTAATTCCAAGACAGGCTCCAAAGCTATGGAGAAACCATGTCTCGAAAAACAAAACAAAACTAAAACTATTTCCAGGGTACTTAGTGTTTCAGCTATAACAAGTTTCCTGTGTCCCTGATAACTAACAAGGTGTCCTCCCTCAGCCCTAGACCTCCTTACCATGGACAGCTGAAGGGTTAATGCCGGGCACAGATCCTTTCATTTTATACTTAGTTATGATTCGTGCCAGTGCCAGTACCCACCTTTAAATAATAACTAGGGATATCGTCTCTCCCTACTCTACTGAATAAGAACTACAATGTCTTGTTGAGACCTCCAGGAGGCAGAGTCAGGATTCTGTAGGCAGTCAAGACAGAGCAGAGGCCTCACCCCAGCACTGAGCACACAGTGGACTCGGAATGGGGACAAATGTTATGTAAAAATTTATTGAGTCACCACAGGCTTTTCCTTTCCCCATGTCCAGCATTCCTCGCTGTCTGCCAACACTCTGCAATAGAAGAGCTTGTGGCTGGAGGTGTGATTGGGAGAGCTGGCCGGGGAGGGACCCTGCCCAGTTGCTGCTCTGCTCCCGTCTCTTGTCCCCTCCCCTGGCCATGACAGAGACCCGTGAGCCAGCTGAGACTGGAGGCTATGCCAGCTTGGAGGAAGATGATGAAGACCTTTCCCCAGGTGAGATAGCCTTAGAAGTTGTGGTGTTGACGAAGCTGGATTCCTGGGCTTGGATTCCCTTGGAAGACTGCGAGGAGGAGTGACCCCTTTCCTTGTTGTGGGCTCTCTTCTGGCTAGAACTTCTGGTTCTGGTGGGAGATGGCTTCCCTGGGAGGCTCTCAGGGGCTGTAGCTTGGTCGTATTCTTGGTCCTTGGCGGAGGTTCTAGATTGGCTGTGTTCTCGGTCCCTGCTGTGGGTTCTAGTGTGGCCGTGTTCTCGGTCCCTGCTGTGTGTTCTAGGGTGACCGTGTTCTCGGTTCCTGCTGTGGGTTCTAGGGTGACCGTGATCTCGGTTCCTGCTGTGGGTTCTACTGTGGCAGTGTTCTCGGTTCCTGCTGTGGGTTCTAGGGTGACCGTGTTCTCGGTTCCTGTTGTGGGTTCTACTGTGGCTGTGTTCACGGTCCCTGCTGTGGGTTCTAGGGTGACCGTGTTCTCGGTCGCTGCTTTTGGTTCCAGGGTGACCATGTTCTTGGTCCCTGCTGTGGGTTCTAGAGTGGCTTCGGGAGCTCTCCTTGCTGGTGGCTCTCAATTGGCCACGGTGCCTTTCCTTGCTGGAAATGGTGGATCGGCTCTGTGCTCTCTTCTTGATGGAGGCTCTAGGCCGGCTGCGGGCTGTGTCTGTGCTGGGGGTTCTAGACGGGTTGTGCCTGCTTTCACTGCTAGGCATCCTAGACAGCTTGTGCCCCTTCTTCCTGGCAGTTCTGGATCGGCTGTGATGTCTCTCTCGGGTCCCTCTGGACCGGCTGCGACTTTCTTCCTCACTGGAAGTCCTAGACCTCACTCGACTTCTTTCCCTTCCTAGAGCTCTCCGTGGGCTGTGACGTTTCCCTTGGCTGTGGGTTCTGGACTTGCTGCGTCTCATCTGGGTGGGTGTGCCCCTCCGCGTACGACTTCTTGCCCTACTACGATTTCTCTTCCAGCTGTAACTTCTCACCCGGTTGTGGGTCCTCTTGTGACTGTGACTTCTTGACCTTCTGGGGGTCCTGGAGCGGCTGTGACTTCGGGTCCTGCTGGGGGTCCTGGAGCGGCTAAAGCTTTGGGTCCTGCTAAGGCTGCTGTCCTGCTTGTTACTCTTGACCGTGCCTGACAAGTCAGTCAGATCTATCACGATGTGAGTCTGTTCCCTGCTGGGGGACGTCACCTGGCTATAGCTCTTGGCTCTCCTGGATGCCACAGGAGACTTGCTAGAGCTCATTAAGACCGTCCTACTTAAGCTGTGGCTCTTGGCCCTACTGGGGATCACAGCTACTCTAGAGCTGCTCCCCGGGTCTGAGGCCCCTGGCGACTTGGGGCTCTTTTCCTGGTGCATGTTTCTAGGCTGGCTGTCACTCCTTTCCTGTGTACTGGTTCTAGGTTGGGTATAACTCTTGTCTTGGCTTTGTTTGCGGTCAGAAGTAGGTGTCGTTGCCTTCTTGGCCACACCTGGTTTGGCGGAATGAGTTCTCTTCCTGATAGGAGTACTTGTTCTGCTGGGGGACATCTTGGAGCTGTGACTTCGCTTCCTGCCCGGAGTTCGCCCCCGGCTATGTGTGCCTTTCTGCTGATGCTGTTCCACGATGCCAGTCGTGCCGCTCTTCCTGCTCTTGCTGGCCTTCCTGGCCTTGGTGTCAGTGCTCAGCCGACTGGGTGTTCTTGTCTTGCTGTGGCCTTGGGATCTACTGCTGGGACGGGTTGAAGGAGCTGTCTTAGTACCTGTTGATCTGGTAGACTTAGAACTACTGGGGCTCATGACCAAGTTAGGGGACTTAGGATGCACTGAGGAACTGTTGGGCGCCGCTACTTTGGTGGTCTTCAAGGAAGCTGGAGGTATGGGAGCTGTGGTGGGCATGGAGGGCCCAGTGGGTGCCGGTACCGGAGCCATGCCGGGCTTGGAGGATCTCTTTGATGGAGAATGCATGGCGGGTGCAAATGGGCTTGAGCTCCTAGAAGTCAGGGTAAAGCATGCGAGATTTGGTAGCCAAGGGCAACGACCGGATGGCTCATCACAAGCAACTTCATGAGGTCATAGTGAGCACTGAGGACTCTGGAGAGTGAGATCAGAGGGGAGAGGAGGTGGGACCCTGGCACAAGGCTGGGGCCTGTTAGTGAATAGAATCACATCCACTCCTACTTAACAGGGCTGAAAATTGGAGCTGGGTTCACCAAGGGCCTGCCTTGAGTCTTCAGGCCTAGGTGATGTTATTTCTGGGATGGGCGAGCCCAGAGAGAGACACTGGCCACTTCGAGTTCCAAGGAGGCTTCATAGAGGAGGTAACACTGAGCTGGAGTTGTTGGTAGAACATGGAAGAGTCTTCACAGGGAGGAGCAGACGGAAAAGCCTCCTGGAAGTGGACTCAGGGCCTGGGCTCTCCATCAGTCATGACCCACTTGTCATCTACTAGACCGAGGATGGAACCCAAGATCAGGTCAAAAGCCACAGCCTCTAGACAGTGATGGGGGCAGCAATAGCCAGGACCATCAGGGAAGTGGCTATGAGAGGTTTGCCTGTGCTGGGTCCTGAAGCCTGAATAGGAGGGGCCAAGTGGACATAGTATGGGACAGTGTGCAGAGGGATACTTAGGCCTCAGGGAATATCTGTAGAAAGTGAGAGGGCAGCAGAATGGGGCAGGGACAATGAAATAGTCCTGAGACTGGGAGGGGTGCAGTGGATGGATACTGAGGGCCTGCTCAGGCACCTGGGCACAGATGCCACAGCCCTGGGACTCTCAGAGGGGACAGTGGGAGGCCAGTAGAAAAGATGACTGGCTAACTAGGATGAGGTGGTCTGGGGTGGCTCACTAAGGAGGGAGCTTTGCCCTGGGTCCTAAAGGGAAAAGCAGAACAGAGCATCCATAGCAGAGGGGATAGCGTAGACAAGAGGCATCCCACAGATGCTCAGCACGCAGTCTTACAGAGCCACCGCTCAATCACCACGTCTCTTAGGGACAAGAAGAAACATCAGTACAGGTAATTACTGTGCAGTTGATTGAACTACAAGGGAAGAATTAAGGCGGGGTGAGGGCATGAACAGCGCTGGGGGTGCTACTATGAAACAGGGTAATCAGTGTCCTCAGACAGGCTTGGAGCGGGATCTGCAGAAAGGGATGCAAAGGCCCACCCACGGTGACTGGGGAGGATAGATAGGTGATGAAGTCCGAGCCCTGGCCCCCCCTCCAGCATTTTTTTTTTTTTGCCTTGGTGATGTGAGTGGTAAGGGTAGAAACACCATCTCTGTGAACTGCTGGAGGACACGCAGGGGCTGAGTGGATGCAGAGGGAGGTTGTGCCACAGTCCAGGGTAATCAGTGTCCCTGAGGTACTTCCAGCAGGCATCTTGACCATGGAGACCTCAGCATCGTGTGGCCACAGACCAGCTGCTCATGTATTTATTCATCACTTCATGGTTTTTTATTATAAAGCTTTTGTTATTTTGTATATTGTTTTAATGAAGGTGGGTATACCCTCATGGTACCAGAAATGTAGGTCACAGGACAACTATTGAGAGCTGTTTTTCTTCCTCTGCTGTGTGGGTCCTGGGAATCAAACTCAGGTCCGTCAGGCTTAGCAGCAAGCACCTTTAACAGTGAGCCATCTTGCCAGTATTTGATCATGTTTTTATTTTTTTTTAAATTTTATGATTTATTTATCTTTATTTTATGTGCATTGGTGTGAAGGTGTCAGATCCCCTGGAACTGGATTTTCAGACAGTTGTGAGCTGCCATGTGGGTGCTGGGAATTAAACCTGGGTCTTCTAGAAGAGCAATCAGTGCTCTTAACCGCTGAGCCATTTCTCCAGCCCTTGATCATGTTTTTAAACCCAAGCTTGTCTATATGTACTTTATGCCCTGAAATTGCAATAATGTGTCTATACTTAAAACTGAGCATTTTAATTGACTTGTGTATCAAAATGGATATTTGTAATTCCAGCACTTAGAGACTGAGGTAAGATGAAGGCCAACTTGGAACACATATGTACATCCTTTTTTTTTTAAAGATATTTATTTATTTACTTATTATATATACAATATTCTGTTTGTGTGTATGCCTGCAGGCCAGAAGAGGGCACCAGACCTCATTACAGATGGTTGTGAGCCACCATGTGGTTGCTGGGAATTGAACTCAGAACCTTTGGAAGAGCAGGCAATGCTCTTAACCTCTGAGCCATCTCTCCAGCCCCCACATATGTACATCCTTAAATACATACATACATACATACATACATACATACATACATAGGTACATACATATGCGTATAAATGTGTTCTGTCTTCTAAAAACAACAGGAAAGTCAGGTATAGTGGTGCCAGCCTAATCCAAGCTTTTGGGAGTTCAAGATCAACCCTAGACGGTCTGAGAACCTGGTCACTAAAGAAAATGGGCAGGGAATAGATGAGTATGTAGAAATACTTGCTGTGGAATCAGGAGTCCAGGACTCCAGCGTCCACGTAAAAACCCATGGTTGTCTCTGCACCTGGGATGCCACTGCTAGAAGGCACAGGCAGGAGGGCCTTGGTGTTGTCTGGTTAGGTTAGTCAAGTAGTCAGTAAGAAACCCCATCTAGAAACAAAGTGGCAAGTGTTAAGGAAAACACCAGTGCTGACTTGTGGCCTCTTCACAGGCACAGTGTTTCCTTTTTTGACTTTTTTTGGGCCTACCACCCAGCTTCCCAGATAAATACATGGAGACTTATTCTTACTTATGAATGTCCTGCCTTAGCTTGACTTGTTTCTTTCTTTCTTTGTTTTTGTTTTATTTGTTTGTTTTTCCAGACATTGTTTCTCTGTAGCTTTGGAGCCTGTTCTGGAACTAGCTCTTGTAGCCCAGGCTGGCCTCAAACTCACAGAGATCCGCCTGCCTCTGCCTCCCGTGTGCTGGGATTAAAGGCGTGTGCCAACACCGCCCGGCTTGCTTGGCTTGTTTCTAGCTGGTTTTTCTAACTTAATTTAACCCATTTCTTTTTAACTACAATTTTGCCTCCTGGCTTTTTACTTTTATTCATTGCATCTCTGTTGTGCCAAGCTGTCCTGCCATACAGTGAGCTTGAAGGGGACTCAAGGGGGCAGCTGGACACAGCCCTGATGCCATGTCTCTCCTACCCGCCCCGACAGGCCCGGAGCCTTCTTCTGACTCTGAATACACTCTTTCAGAGCCCGACTCTGAGGAGGAGGAAGAGGAAGAGGAGGAAGAGGAGACCACTGACGACCCTGAATATGACCCTGGCTATAAGGTGAAACAGCGCATAGGTGGGGGCAGGGGAGGCCCATCCCGCCGGGCCCCCCGAGCAGCCCAGCCTGCTGGCCCACCTGCACAGCCCTGCCAGCTCTGTGGCCGATCACCGCTGGCAGAGGCCCCACCCGGTACCCCACCTTGCCGACTCTGCTGCCCTGCAACAGCAACCCAAGAAGCCCCAGCCCCTGAAAGCAGGGCTCTTGGTGAGGAAGAGGAGGAGCCATCTCGCATGGGGGAGAGCCGGCCAGCAGGGCGGGATGGAGATGAAGATGAGGAGGAGGGGGGTACCTACCACTGTACGGAGTGTGAGGACTCCTTTGACAACCTCGGGGAACTGCATGGTCACTTCATGCTACATGCCCGGGGTGAGGTTTAGGTAGGGCCACCAGGGAGCTGGTGGAGGGGTGGGTGGGAGCAGGGGCTGCGGAAGCTGCAGTCGGGGCTGGGTCCTACCCATGTGTGTTGTCTTAGCAGTAGATATGTGAAGGGCAGAAAGAATAAAAGCCAGATTGTGTGTGTGACTGAGTATGGTGAATGTGGTCTGCACCAGCATCCCTCTGCTTCCCCTCCTGAGTGCTGCGATTACCAACATGCACCTCCGGGACTGATTTTATGTGATGCTAAGGTTTAAACTTTGGCCTTTGAGCCAAAAAAAAAGAAGGAAAGGTCCATCCCAGCCGTTTTTGTTTTGCTTCATTTTTCTTTTTCTTTTTTTTCTTTCTTTTTTTTTTTTTTTTTTACGAACTGAATGCCAGTAGGTAAGCAAGTCTTGTTACAAATGGTGACAAGACACCAATGGGATTCAACCGAGAGGTACTTTTTTTTTTTTTTTGGATTTTCGAGACAGGGTTTCTCCGTAGCTTTTGGTTCCTGTCCTGGAACTAGCTCTTATAGACCAGGCTGGCCTCGAACTCACAGAGATCCGCCTGCCTCTGCTTCCCGAGTGCTGGGATTAAAGGCGTGCGCCACCACCACCCTCTCCCCCCCCCAGGTACTTAGTTCGTGCCAGTGATGCTTTGATTGTGTAGCCTCAGCTGATGGGAAAGCCATACGCCATCTGCAAACACACCTGGCCTTCACCTTCATAGTGTAGGTAGGTTTCCATTGGAAACTGGCACTTTGTAGAAACACAAGACTGAGCCAATGGGAAGCCTACTTAGTGCTGCAACCAGACATCTCTGTGGAACGAGGGGATGCACACGTGCAATGCGGGGAGTCGAGGGGAGATCTGGGGGAGTGGGTTGGAATCGGAGGTGTCGGTATGACTACTCATGACTCCTGTATAACCACGTGATGCATCATATTTAGTGGCAGACTAATAGTTTTTGAATCATGTTCATTTTTTTCTTTTTTTAATTCCTCTTTTTTTTTTTTGAGACAGTGTTTCTCTGTGGCTTTGGAGCCTGTCCTAGAACTAGCTCTTGTAGACCAGGCTGGCCTCGAACTCACAGAGATCTGCCTGCCTCTGCCTCCCGAGTGCTGGGAGAGTGCTGGGAATTGGGTGTCCTGGTGCTGCGCATGATGTTCAGGCTTGGAATCCTAGCACTGTGGAGGGTGTGACACACGGTTGAGAGTTCAGGGCTAGCCTGGGCTTAGGAAGAGTGATGTCCCTGTCTCAAAACAACAGTACACACACCAGAAAGACTAAGAAATGAGGCTTTGAGATAGGCCATACTAATTGGTAGAAGCCTGGCACCAAAGCTGCTTTAAAAATCAAAGGCTGATTATAGTAATAGCTACCATTTACCAAATGTTTACTGTTGCCAAGCCCTGCTCTGAGGTGCATTACCCTGTTCCTCTGGAAGTGGTTCCTCTTAACCATTGAGCTATCTCTCTCTAGCCCCCAAAATGTCCCTTTTGGTTTTTCAGGCCAGTGTTTCTCTAACTTTGGACCCTGTTCTGAAACTAGCTCTGTAGACCAGGCTGGCCTTGAACTCAACAGAGATCCACCTGCCTCTGCCTCCTGAGTGCTGGGGTTAAAGTGTGCGTCACCACCCCTGGCCCCAAAATGTCTTTTAAAACCCATCCTTTTCATAACTGATAATAGCTGAGCATCCAAAAACTGGCATCAAATCCATGCTCATTGAAAGGATTATCTTGGTCCATTTTTGTTGGCATAGCAATATGCTTGAGGCTGTACACTTAATACAGAATGTAAATTTATTTCAGCTCTGGAGGCTGGGAAATTCAAGATCAAGGTCTGATGGGTTTGTTGCTCCCTTGTTAGCCGTGTTTGAGGAAGCCTCTCAAGGGCTGATTGGCTCAGTTTCAGCCCATGGCGACCTGACTCTGGGCCTGTAGTGGAGCAGAAGCAATCACCTCATGAGGTTAGGGGCAGAGGCTATCCTGCAGATCTAGGCTCACTGCAGTCAGGTTGAGGTTAGCCATCACCCAACATCTCTGTTGTTACTTCATAACCGTTGTTCTGTTAGTCATGAATCACAGGGTAAATGTCTCTGTTTTCTTTTTTTTAAGATATGTGTGTGTTTATTTATTTATGTATACAGTGTTCTGCCTGCATGTTTGTCTGCAGGCCAGGAGAGGGCACTAGATCTCTTTATATATGGTTGTGAGCCGCCATGTGATTTTTGGGAATTAAACTCAGGAACTTTGGAAGAGCAGCCAGTGCTCTTAACCTCTGAGCCATCTCTCCAGCCTGTATTTGTGTTTTCTGATGGTCTTAGGTGACCCGTGAAAGGGTCATTCGAACACACAGAGCCGTGACCCACAGGTTGAAAAGCACTACTCTAAAGGATCGACCACTGTTACACTGAGTCTCAGGATCCTAGCAAACAAACACTGGGGGACATACCTGTGACCACAGCACGCAGATAACTGATAAAGGGGGAGCATGCTCCCAGGCGTGATCCATACCTTCATGCCTAGCCCTCCTGTCACGAGGCTGCAGTGGAAAGCACTGTGGCTGCTGTTATGGTCAGCAGCTGGTCAGGACCTGAGAACTAAGATGGGCATTCTAAAGGACTAGACATACAGGGTGCAGGTGTCAGTGCTCAACCTCAGACTCAGGGAGAGGAGGATTGAGGGCCTAGAGAAACAGGCCTGCCTGTCATACCAGCTACTCCAGAGACAGTTCGGGCAGACAGTGATCAATTGGTTGGTGCTTCCACTTCAAGAGGGCCGCACGGTGGCTCTTGTCTTCAGAGTCCAGAAAGGTGCTGGTGTTCAAATGTTGCGGGAGAGGTAGGGTGCCCTCCTCCAGACCCCATGGCTGCTGTGGCCACCTTCATGTCCTTAGCCCTCTGCTATCACACCCAAGCAGGCAAGTTTCTTGCCCCTCTCCTATTCTGTCCTCGCCTCAAGCTCAGAACTGAAGCCTGACAGTTTGCAGAAAGCCTTATTATCATTGAGCTTTGAGCTCTTTGGAAGGCTGGCCTCCAGCTAAAGCCCTAAATCAGCCATAACCCAGTCAAGAGTGCATGCTGAACCGCACCCTACACAGTCTTAACTGGGGTGAGGCAGCGAAGGCTGGAGACACGGTATTTCTTTCTTTTTTAAAAAAATATTTATTTATTTATTATGCATACAATATTCTGTCTGTGTGTATGTCTGCAGGCCAGAAGAGGGCACCAGGCCTCATTACAGATGGTTGTGAGCCACCATGTGGTTGCCGGGAATTGAACTCAGGACCTTTGGAAGAGCAGGCAATGCTCTTAACCACTGAGCCATCTCTCCAGCCCAACACGGTATTTCTTACCCCTAGGAGCTTGAATTCAATTATAAGAAGTCCCTCCAAAGCCGAGGCTGCAGGCCCTGAGGAGTGCTGCAGAGAAACTAGGGTAAGGGGCAAGCCAGGGCAAGTCCCTGAGCAGGCTGAGACTTCTCTTAGGAGATAGCTAGGGTTGAGAGCTGAGTATCAGTGAGGCCTTTGCAGAGGGCTACAAACACTGCACAGGGAACAAGTGCAAAGGTCCTGGGGCAGAACCCAGCCTGGTGTGGGCGTGGTTAGGAAAGAGTTGTAACCAGAGACTGTCCTTTGGTTCCCAGCTGCCCAGACCTGAATAATCACACAGAAACTAGATTAATTACAATACTGTTTGGTCGATGTCTCAGGTGTATTTCTAGCTAGCTCCTACATCTTAACCCATTTTTTTATTTTATATTTTACCACACGGGTCATGGTTTGTTACCTCTTGCTTTTTGGGCAGCTACATGGTGTCCCCCTGACTCTGCCTACTCTCTATATCTCTTCCAGCCTAGCTATATTCTGCCCTGCAATAGGCCAAGGCAGCTTCTTTATTAACCAGTGGTAATAAAACAATGCAGCATACAGAGGGGAATCCCACATCAAACAGTGATTGTACAGCTGAGAGGGAGGTGACTGCTTGATCCTCACCAGTAAAGTTTTCAGTTGCTATCCATAGGGTGTCAGTGGACTCCATAAGGCAATACAGTGTGTCTTTAGCAGAGGCTGGAAGTGGATGGTGGTGGGAAGGGGGTCAGCCAGGAGTCGGGGATATCGCTACGTGAGAATTTTCCTGAACACAGTAGAGTGCACAGCTCACCGGTATGGTGGCAGTTGAGCTGACCAGAGACCACAGGAGTCATACCAATCCATTGTACGTCTTTTGTCATTGAGGTGGTTGTACCTCATGCATGGGGTTTGTGCTGTAGACACAAACTCAGAGACCACCATCGATGCCATTACAAGCCTTGGTAACCTTGACATCTGAGGGCTTTGAGGGTTGTGCCTGATGAGATTTTATGTTTGGAGTCAAGGAAGCAAGTGTGGGGGTTGGGAGAATACTGAGGCAGAAACAAGGCTTTCACCAGGTGCCAAAGGGAAGGCTTCACTTGTGTACACTTTGGTGTCTTGGAGGAAAAAAAGTGTTAGCTAAATGACTACACCCATTTCCCATTCGTCACCCCAGAAAAAGAGCTCCAGGCTAACCCTGTCACACATCCCACACACCAGCGGGAGGTGACATTTTCCATGTGAGAACTGCTGCCCAGACTCAAGGGTGTTATTATTTTAAAAAACGGCACAGGAGAGAAAGATGCCATGTGACAGAATTCACGTGGAGGGGTTTTAGGGGAAAGGGAACCTAAAAAGAGGGAAGGGGGCGTGGAGATCGGCCTCTGGGGACAGGAGCAGCAGAAGAGAGAAGGGGAGAGACAGGCAGAGAAGCAGGGACAGACGGGACAGAGAAAAAGACAGGAGGTGGGCAGGAACCTTTTATTTATTTATTTATTTTTCTGAATTTTCGAGACAGGGTTTCTCCGTAGCTTTTTGGTTCCTGTTCTGGAACTAGCTCTTGTAGACCAGGCTGGCCTCGAACTCACAGAGATCTGCCTGCCTCTGCCTCCTGGGAGTGCTGGGATTAAAAGCGTGGGCCACCACCGCCCAGCTGGCAGGGACCTTTTAAAAGGGAACGTTATCAGTGTTACAGAGGAGGTGCTCTTAGTGGCTATAGCTGAGGACCTGTCAGAACCCCAAGGGCAGGCCAATGCAGATGCCTGAATACTAACACAGAGTAACTGGTCTGAGGTGAAGCCAACA